ACAGAGGTTGTTGCAGGCACTGGAAACATAGCAGTGAGTAGAGTGCTACCATTATTGAAATGAAAATTTAGAGATCAGTAGGAGAAGATAGGGAATAGATATGTAACATGTCTGAGAATCTGTTGGTCAGGATAGGCTAGGTTGTCCTGTGGCAGTAAACAGCTCCATATCTCTGTAGCCTAAAATAACAAAATTTCTTTCTCACACTCCACGTTCACTGCAGATCAACTGTGGGCTTTTTTTTGTGCCTTCAACCTGGGACCCAGGCTGAGTGGAGAACCACCACCTGGAGCACATCCTGTCCTCTGTGGGCAAGGGAGAAGACAGAGTGGTGAACTGCACACTGCCACTTAAATCTTTTGCCTGAATGTGCCATGTGACACCTTCACTCACACTTCACTGCCTAAAGCAAGTCACATGACCACACCCAAATTCAAAAAGTGAGAAAGTGCAGTCATGGTAATGTGTTAAAAAAAAAATCAGACACAGTGGTGGACAGAACTCCAGATGTTGATGATCACTGACGAAAAAAAGGCAAAGTAAAGGGTGTCTGGATAGACATAGATGATCAGAAAAGATCTCTCTAACAGTGACCTTTGAGGAGAGGTCCTCAGAGAGGACCAGGTTGAAGGCACATTTGGTTGGGGTCGGGGCAAACTTCCTGCAAAGGAGACAGCAAAAGCATAGTATACCTGGCATGTATATAGAAAAGCAAGGAAGCTAAAAGTGGCCAGCATGAAGTAAGCAAGGAGAAAGCTGTAGAAAATAAAATGAGAGAGGTTACAGTCTGGGGACACCAAGTATGGCTTTATTGTAAGGGATGTGGCTATTGCAAGTTTTTGTTTTAACATGTGGTCATTTAGGGTTTTCAACAGTGCTTGCCACTTCTGAGTAGGAAATATAAGGGCATCAAGAGTTGAAGCAGGGAGTAGTGAAAAGGCTTTTTCAAGAATCCAAGGTAAGGTAAAGGGAAATCGTGGTCAGACGCTAGACACACTGTCATTTGAAGGTAGATAAACAGAATTTGACAATGTACTGAATAGCAGTGTTTATGAGAAATGATTTAAGGGTAACTTCAAACATTTCTTAATAATCTAATGATCCTTGAATATACATATGAGCTACTTTCTGTGGGCTTTTAGAATCTTCAAATTTGGCAGTATCGTGATAGCATATAACCTCTTCCCCAAATGATTAGGAAGTCGGACAGGAAAGTAGGCCTGTGAGTGCTGGGGAGTAAGCTTGACTCGTGCACCACCTAAGGGAGTCCCCCCATATTGGCCTCAGATTTCAACTCTTTTAGGGTTTGTGATCTGAATTAATTTATAAACCTAAGGAATGAGTGTCACAATTCCAAGAAAAACAGAAGCTTGTGACTGGGTCATCCCTACCTCACTCCACTCTTCCATTCCTTGTGAACTTCAGCTATCACTACCAGGAAACCTAGCTCTTACTGTGCGAGGCCAGTCCTTCGTGCAGGTGTATGGTATAATGATGTTGCCTCCGGTTCACTCGGAAATATGTTGAGTAGAAATTTGAATAAATACAATAAAATGACACTGTGCTGTCCTCTTCTCTCCTCACCTCATCTCTTGCGCCATGATCCTCCCCATCACTGAAACCCACTAAATGGTGACTAGAACTCCTTCCTACTCGGCCTTCTCTTATATCTTCTCAAGCATAGCCGAACATAGGTTGAATGTTAGTTGTTAATTACCGCTGAGGAATAAATAAAGATCAATGCTATTTTTAAAAACTACATACTCAATAACATTCATTCATTTTACTCAACATACTCAATACCTATTTTTTGCTTGCAGCGCTGAAGGTTGAACCCTAGAGCATCATGCATGCTTCATAAGCACTCTATCACTCAGCTACATTCCCAGAGCCTTTTTCCTTTTCTTTTTTTTTTTTTTAATATAAACAAGATCTCACTGTGTTGTTCAAGGTAGCCTCAAAGCCACTAAATAGCCCAGGATGGCCTTGAGCTCATGGTGATCCTCCTACCTCAGCCTCCCAAGTGCTAGGATTGCAGTTGTATTCCACCATGCCTGGCTCCTAGAGCTCTTTTAAAAGAGTTTTATTTTGAGCCTTACCAAGTTGCCCAGGCTAACCTTGAGCTTAGCATCCTGCTGCCTCAGCCTCTCAAGTAATTGGGATTATAGGTATGTGCTTCTATGCCCAGCCAATCAACAAATATTCTTGAGCTTCTATATTGTGCCAGGGACTATTCTAGGCATGGAGACCTAGCCAAAAATAGGACATATAAGTAATGCATATTAAATACTTGGAAAATGTGGAAAAATATAAATAAAAAGTAAGACTTCTAATTATTCACTGACTACTACACATTTTTTCCTAAGCATGCATATTCTTCCTTCCTGCTTTTTTAAAAATATAGTTTATAAATTTGGACTTATAATATATATTGCTTTATTTTAAGTTGTTTTATTATAAGAATAAATAATAGTAAATGTTCACTATTTGTTGACTGAATGAAATTTAATTATAGAAATTTAACAATTACAGAGAATCAAAGAGTTTTAAACTAAAATCCACCATTACAGTCACTGCTAAGAGATAATACTGCTGTTAGATATGGTTTTGAATAATCAGCATATTATTGCAACATTTTTTTACAATAGTGATTCACTTTTAAAATGACAGCTCTCTCTTCTTCCTAATTACAAGAGCAACATGCCATTGTGCGCAATTCGGAAATACTGAAAGGTACTGTAGCTATTAATATTTTGGGCATTTTCTCTGAGCACTAATAGGTTAGTTAAAAATGTAGGGAAGTTATTTGGTCTCTCTGAACTTCATATATCTTATCAGTAAAATGAAACTAATAATACATAGTAGGAACTGGTGTGAAATTTAAATGAGATAAAATATACAAATTTCTTAGTCCAGTATCTGACAAATAATGAGTGTTTAATGTGGGAGTTCTTATGATTTGGGATAATGTTTCTACAGTTTGCCATACTTTACACATGAATTTTTGTCCTTCTTTTTAAAACTTCACATTGTATCATTACTATTTTTCCAAAACATTTTAATGGCTACATAACATTTCTCTTTTTTTTCCCCCTTGTTGAGTTTATTGGTACATTTTAGGTATACAGTACAATTACATTCATCATCGGGATCTGGTACCTTTACATGACAGGTCTTGGTTCTCAGTTTTTCCCCTTGTCCCTGCCCTCCCTTCACCCCTCCTCCCTCCTCCTTTACAAAAACTTCATTTCCATTTCTTCATTTTCTCATACAACATTTCTCAATACGAATGTCCTACAGTTCTCTTAATTATATCACCTACCTTTCTCCCTCTCTCCCTCCCTCTCTCTCTGTAATGGAGAATGAATCCAGGGCCTTCACACTGAACCACATCCTCAGCCCTTTTGTAATTTTTTTACTTTTGAGATAGGGTCTCACTAAGTCACTAAATTGCCCAGGCTGGCTTGAACTTTTTCTTTTTTTTTTTTTTTTTTTTAGGATCCAACCTTGCCCTTGCCAGGCAGGCGCTGTGCCTCTGAGCTTAAACCCCAGTCCTGGCTTGAACTTCTGCTCCTCCTGCTTCAGCTTCCTAGGGTGTGGGGATTACAGGTGTGCACCCCTGTGTCTGGTGGACCCTCCTTTTTTAATTTGTAAAATTTGAGACAATCTTAACTTCTCAGAAAATTTGTCAGAAAAGTACAAAGATCTTTTCATCTCCTTAGCCATTTGAAAGAAAATTGCCAAGCCAGGCATGGTGGCACACACCTGTAAACCCAGCACTCAGGAGGCTGAGGGAAGAGGATGTCTGTGAGTTCAAGACAGCCTGGGCTACATAGTGAGTTCCAGGTCAGTCTCAAATACATAGACCCTGTCTCAAAAAAAAAAAAAAAAAAAAGCAGAAAGAAAATTGCCAATTTGATTTCCTCATAAATAGTTTGTGCACATTTTTTTTTCCACAGAGTCGTTCTCCTACATAACTCCAGTAAAAACAGCAAAACTGGGAAATTAACGTTGATATATTCAGGTCTAATACTCAGATCCCAGTCAAATTTATCCACTGCCAATAATGTACTATAAAGTAAAGAAAAGGATTCCAGTTCAGAAACATGTATTGTAATCATGTGCCTTATTTCCTTAGTCTCTTTTACTATGGAACAGTTCCTCAGTCTTCCTTGACTTTCATATCCTAACTACTTTTGAAGACTGTGCCTCATTTGTAGAATGTCCCTCACTTTGTGTTTGTCTAATATATTCTCATGATTAGCATGTATGTCTACAGTGTCACAGAAGCTGCAATGTTTTCTTCTTATCGTATCCTACTCTGGCACTTCTGCTTTGGCTGAAACAACGACAATAGGCCATTTTCCAGACACTTCCCTCAGCCCACATAGGCTCAAATATCCTACATCAAGCACCTCTCTGTGGGGAAACCCTCTTCCGCCTCCCTGGAATCCACACCTCACACCAGTCTGTCCCTTTGAAAGAATGCTCCTTTACCCTGGGTTGCATCTTTGTCCTCAGCACACATCGGAAGGCACCCAGTACCCTGCCCCATCCTCAGTCCTCCTTAATTCTGACACCCTGAACCAGGGTTGCCCTCTCTGCAGTGATGCCCTTCTGGTCCTGCTGCGGATTGACAGCTACTCTAGGCCTCTCTCCATATGAATGCCCTCCTCACCCATTTTTCTGATATTCTAATTCTCTTTTTGTTTGTTTTGTTTTTGCTTTTTTAGTTTTTTTGAGACAGGGTCTCACTATGTAGTTGAGACTTACCTGGAACTCACTATGTAGTCCAGGCTGGTCTTGAACTCACAGCGATCCTCCTGCCTCAACTTCCCAAGTGCTGGGATTACAGGTGTACAACACCACGCCCGGCCTAATTCTTTTTTTTTTAAGTGCTCAGCACTAAACACAGCTCTCAAGTGCTCCATCAGTGAGCCACATACCCAGCCCTTTTATTTTTTTATTTTAAGGTAAAGTCCTGCTAAATTGCCTAGGCTGGCCTTACACTTGTCATCCTCCTGCCCCAGACTCCCACGTAGCTCTGATTACAGGTGTGTGCTGCCATATTTGACTGTTGGTATTCTAATCCTTGAAAGAGATGTACCAATTTCCTCTTGAGAGAAATCTGTAGATAAGTTTTTAATATCCATCAGTAACAATGTTGCATTTTCACTTACGTTATGATCTAAAGAAATACGTGTATGATGTACATTTATCTGACTCACTTGAAATGTTCCTTGTATAGCCACATACTTTGGGGTCCTTCTTTGTGTTAAAATTGGGTTGGCACTACCTGAACCCTCACACAGATGATATTTAACTTTTAATGTGTTGGTAGTCATTATGTTTCCGTGTCCTAATAAAAACCATTTTGTACTGTTTGATAAAAATCATATTGAAATTATCTAACTATTTTTAAAGCTAAAACTGCAGCTTTTCAGTGAGATAAGATGGAGTTTAGTCTTTTAATTTCTGTAATAAATGGATCTTGCTTTTCCATCATAAAAACAACCATGCTACTTTATCACAGGGTAAGCAGAAAAGAACAAGGCCGATATAATATGTAAATGATGCAAATGATGCATTCGTGCGAAGACCATATGAGTCATGGTGCCCACAGTAGTTTGAATAGAGACACATAGCAAAGCAGCTGAGTCATTACTGGGCTGACAGTAGCAGAGACTAAAGTCAGAAGAAGCAGCTCACTTATTCAGGTGAGTCTGTATTTTTGTGACATACCAGCTCGCAGACATTCTCCACAGAGAGCTTTCTACTAAAAGCTTTGGAAGAAAAATCATCAACATTATAGACTGGAAAACATCATCGATTAAGTTTTAAAGTCGACTATGCCGATCCAAATAATGAACTGATGGTTTCAAATAAGTAACCTGATGCAAGGCAAAACTGTGGATCACTGTGGATCAAATGACTGTCCAGCGTGCTCAAAATCAAGGGTGAAAGTCAACAATTGAATCATAAAAGGCATAAAAAAGTATCCTTTTCATACTATGGTTTTATAATGACATGTATAAATTAAATTCTATATTGGCTGTTTCTTTACAGTAAAATGTTCTCCTTTTGCCTTGAGCCATTGTTTTTATTTCAATTTATTTTATTTAATCTGTAAATGTATAAACCCCAGGCTTTTGTACTGAGCTACATCCCTAGCCTTTTTTTTTTTTTCCCTAAGACAGGATCAGTAAATTGGTCAGGCTGGGCTTGAATTTGCAGTCCTCCTGCCTCAGCCCCCCAGAGTGTTGAGATTACAGATGTGTGACACCACGTCCTGCTTTGATTTTTTTCTTCTAGTTTTAAAAATTATGGTAAAAATTTAAAATTTATCTTTCCAACCATTTTTAAAATATATCATTTGGTAGTGTTAAGTAAATTCACAGTTTTGCATAATGCATCTCCAGAACTTTTTCCCTTTGTGTTCCTGTAGATTTTAGTGAGCTACAAGCATAAAGTATTTATACCTAATTATATATTTTTAAATATTTAAGAAACAATATAGTGAAAATTAAGTCAACATGGTCTTTCAAGAGAATTTTCTTTCCTTGATAAAAGAGAAAAAGAGGCTTGAGATACACTGACCAATGCAGTAATTCTCTTTCATTTTAGATGAAAGATGCTTGTGCAGACAGTTCTGGTTTTTTCTCCATGTCAGCCTACTGAGCAGGCTGTACTGGAGATGACAGAGAGGCTTCATTTCTTGGAAAAGTAGAACCAGAGGAGCAGGGTTCCCAGTCTGAATTCAAATGTTCCTTTTTTAATAATAGGTATAATGTGAGCACAATACTGCCTTTCAAATTTCTTTTCAAAATACTTTCCAATCCATTCTTCTATTTTTAAGGCCCTATTATGAATCTCTAACGTAACTTTTCTTTAAAGTCAAGCGTCATTGCCAAGTTGTGATATGTTATACTGTGAATCATTCATTCTAGCCAGTGCTGCTGGGAGACTTGCTCCTTAGCAAAATGTTAGAGGGAAAAAGCTGTCACCTGAAGCTAGGATTATTCTGTGGATCTCTGTTGGCCTCTCTTAGACCTCACAAAGAAGATAAACTACGTGGAAGTTTTAAGCTTGAAAGTTCATATTATTAATCTCTTGGAAGGCTTCATTTTTTAAATGAAAGATTTTAAAAAATGAAAATAAGATTTGCTATTTGACTTTTTTTTGAAAAAAAAATATTCAGTCCCCATGAATGTTTTTAAACTATAGAATAGAAAGCAAGTTAAAAAGGCAAGAGAAGAAGAAATAATTTTCAGTATTTATATGTCAGGCACTGTTGTAGACTCTTTCTATCCTTCATCCTATCTCTTCTGACAATCTCTCTGGTAGGTGGTTCTGTTTCCTCATCTTATTGGCTGGCACTGAAAGGCAAAATAACTTGCTTAAGGTCACATGACTTGTAAATGAACTGAAATTCAAACCCTGTTTGACCGATTAAAAGCTGCATTTTGTGAGTGAGAAACATGTGAAAACAGATCATAGATTCAGTTTGAGCAGTGTTTTCCATCCCAGATTTTGTCTGGGGAACTTGGGAAACACCAATATTTATTCTCAGAGAGAGTTCCTTTGACCATTCCTGCAAATTATCATTTTCTGCTTTCTTTTTTAGTTATTTGTGTATTTAGCTGACGGGCTCAGCTTCAAACATTTCCCATACTCCTACTAAGCAGAGTGCAAAAATCCATTTGCTCTATCCCAGCTGATCTCAGCACCAGCCAGGTTTCTGCCTTCCCAGCTGTGAAGGCTGCAGTGTAAATAGCACATCCTCACTTTCCTATCTGCTGCAGTGTTGTCTGGCTTTTTTTTTTTTTTTTTTTATCCTTTTTCCCTTTTTAAATCTCGAGACAGTCTCACTAAGTCATGAAGTTACCAGAGTTGGGCTTGAAATCTCAGAGTTCTGGATTAACAGGTGTGCCATGCATCACATCTGGCTTGGCCCTTCTTGATGGGAGAACCCAGCTTTTTAGACAAGTCTGAAGGATCCCTAGGGACTGCACTGTCTGTCACTTATTGGTTTAATATGTGCATTCTGCAGTACTTTTACATGCTTTCCCCATTTCTTACATCCCTTCTGTCTCTTAATTTCTCCTCTCATTTACATGGTGACTTATAGGAACTTTGAATATAATAATCTAAAAGGTATGTTGTGGGAAGGATGAGTGAGCAGACTTCCTGTTTAATGGGACAAATCTGCAGCCACCTGCTTCTTTGAAGGTCTGGGCTAAATCTTGAAACTGAGCTAAGGCTTGGGTTTTAGTGAGAGTCAAAGAGGCCACCTGTCTCACTTCTTTAGCATTTACTGTGCGCTGTCTGGGTGCTCAGTGATCTTTTCCAATGAAGATGTTGTACCTCTCCACCTAGATTTTAAATGCCAAGAATGCGTGTCACTCCTCTTTATGCCAAGTGTATTTCCTCGCAAATAGTAGGCATCTAATAAGTAGCTGAAGATTGGTTGCTGATGTGTTAGTTGCTGAGGGTGCTGCTGAACTCTCTCTAAATTAGAAATGGAGAGGGCCAGGGATTTAGCTCAGTGGTTCAGCAGAACCACTTATGCCTCACAAGCATAAGGTCCCGAGTTCGATCCCTGGTACCAAAAAAGAAAGAAAGAAATGGTGGTATGATGGGACCAGACCTCCCAGGCTCACACTGAGGTGTCAAGAGACTTTCTGTTTCATGTGTCATTTCAAAGAATAATGATATACTGGTACCCAAAGCCCAGGTTTAGAATCTTGAATTTTAAAAACCCAAATGTGAAAAGGCCCACCCTGCTCACTTTGGAACCCCAGTCTTAGTCAGAAGTGGACTTGTTAGCTGCCGGTTAGACACAGTATGAAATGCCCCAAATACCCCGTTGGCTGATTCTGCCTTGGTGCCTGCAGGACCTAAATCTTGGGCTTTTCCTATACACTGAGGGCCCAACAAAGCTGTGTAGGGGAGACTGAGCCAAGCCCTGGTTGAGGGTGGGAGGGCTGAGCATATCCAGTGTTGTGTGCAACTGGAATGAGTGAATTGGCCTCGCATTAGGGAAATTGTCTTAGCTACATTTTTTTTTTCTGAATGGATGCACATTGAAATAATACTCTTTTTTATTAATTTTTTTCAGCTTTAATTGAGTTTATTGGTACATTTTAGGGATACAGTACAGTTACATTCACTGTTGGGATCTTGTACCTCTACAGGACAGGTCTTGGTTCTCATTTTTTCCCCTTGTCCCTGCCCTCCCTTCACCCCCTCTCCCCCTCCCCATTTACAAACACTTTGTTTCCATCTTTTCATTATCCCACATTTTTTTCTTTTCCCTTATTACCCTTCCCCTACACATCCCACCTTTTTAGCTCCTTTCTTCCCATTTCTCAATGTCAGTAATCTTATTAGGATCTTCTGTATTATTGCAGATTATTCACACCAGAGAAACTGTTTGGTATTTACACATGTGTGGCTTATTTATTTCACTTAGGAGTATATCTTCAATATGTATCCATTTTCCTATGAATGAATCTATTTTCTCATTCTTTATGGCTGAGTAATATTCCATTTTATAGAAAAACCACAACTTCTTTATCCAGTTTCCAACGGATGGGCAAATGGGCTGTTTCCAAGATTTAACTATTACAAACTGTGCCGCTATAAACATGGGTGCACATACTTCTCTGTGATATGATTCTTTTAGTTCTTTTGGAAAGATACCCAGCAGAGCAATGGCTGGGTCAAATGGAACCTCCAGTCCAAGCTCTTTGAGGTATCTCTATATTGATTTCCACAGTGGTTGCACCAGTCTGCACTCCCACCAGCAATGGAGAAGGGTTTCTTTCTCCCCACAGCCCCACCAATACTTGTTATTGTGTGATTTCTTGATAGCAGCCATTCTTTGTGGGGTGAGGTGGAGTCTCAGTGTTGTTTTCATCTGCATCTCTCGAATGACCAGTGATGTGGAACATTTTTTCTTATATTTACTTGCTGCTTTTACTTCTTTGTCTGAGAAATATCTGTTCATTTTGGATGCCCATTTTTGAATCAGGTCTTTATATTTGGGGGGACTGATTGTTTTGAGTTCTTTATATATTCTTGATAATAGTCCTTTGTCTGAGGAACAGCTAGTAAAATTTTTTTCCCCACATTGTAGGTTGTCTCTTAGTTTTGCTGATGGTTTCTTTTGAAATACAGAAGCTTTTTAATAAGATGAGGTCCCAGTTGTTGATTCTGTCTGCTAGTTCCCGTGCTGCTGAGGATTTGTTCATAAAGTCTTTTCCTATGCCAATGTCTTCCAGAGTTCTGCCTAACTTACCTTCCAGCAAGTTTAATGTTTCTGTTTTAATATTTAGATCTTTAATCCATTTGGATTTTAATTTAGTTTAGCTACTTTTCTTTTATTGCTGAGACAAAAACCCAACACTCAGAAGTTAAAGGAGGAAACGTTCATTTAGCTCAGAGTTTGTAGAGGTTTCAATTCAGAGTCAGCTGTCTCTAAAGCAGGTGGCATGGCAGAGGAGAAATAGTCCATGACAAGCAGGCAGGAGATAGGGAAGCAGCAAGCAGCAGTTAGCAGCCTGCCTCTCTCTTCCTTCCCAGACTGCCAGCTTTTTGGGTGTGGCAACCATATCCAGGGCTGGCCTTCCCATTATCCACACCCAGAACTACGCTAAACCAATCAATGGACTGATTTAGCAACACATTCTTAATCCCAGTATCACACCTTTAATCGCAGCATGATACACCCTAGATGCAGCCCAACACCCTTCACGAGCCTGGAGGGGAACGTCTGGTCAGAAGCCATAACAGAAGCCTTGTCAATGAAGTGTGTGACTACTTTCTTAAACAAAACGTAGACCACCTAATGTAACCTTTTCCAGATGACTAAGGACTTTATTTTAAAAACAAGTCAGTTGCTGTGAGAACTGTGATGTAATCAGGGACTTTTGAGGGGTGTTTATTGCTTAGTACATGAATTAAGTCATTGAAACTGGCTGTTTTGATTTGATCTATGTGAAAATTAGATTGCTTTTTCAAATATTACTTGGTAATTTTTATAAGTTTATTGGTTTGTTTTTCAGGTTCTTAAAAATATTTTCACGACAAAACCACCTTATCAAAATGTCAGATGTCATTTCCTTCAGGAAGCAAGTCTCAAGTCCTTCTTCCCTGTAATCCTTGCAACTTCTGACCTATGTAGTGTTTAGGAAAATAGGCAACTGCACTTGTTAGAACTGTGCATAAAGTAAGAGTGGGATCTGAGTGAAATTCTTAGGGCTGAGTTAAGAATAAGAGCAGGCACTGACCTTTATTCTCAGCCCCCTTTTTATTTCATTATTTTATCTTGATAGGGTCTTGTTGAATTGCCCGGACTGACCTCACACTTTCCATCCTCCTGCCTCAACCTCTGGAGTAATGAGGGTGCTTAAATCCTGTGATACTATTTTGCTGGCAGGTTTGGCACCTGTGATCCTCCCCATCTTTACACCAGAGCTTGAATCCATTCTTCAGGCGGCCATCCTTTTCTTATTATGGTCAAGGTAAGGTGACAAGCGGAGGGGTTGCCAGGGCACCCTCCGGAGGGTAGGGCTGGATGAGCGGGGCATGGTGAGAGGAAGGTAGGAACCTAGGCAGAGCAGGGTAGAGGCCAGTGTTGCTGACCATAGCCTGCTGCTTGGCAGTTTCACATCAAGCTGACTGGCTCTGGATGCAGAAGTTCTCCTTGGGTCAGTTGTTTTCCACAGTCGTGATTAGAAACCATCCGTGTTCTAGGAGTGCATAGAGAATGAGCATCTTGTTTTGAAATCTATTTGAAGCCAGAGTGGATGTTTCTTTTTAGCCACAAGTAAAAAGCAACACAAATATGATCATTCTACTTTATCGTTACTTTGGCATTACAAAAATTAAAAATAAATCTTCACTTTTCATTTGTAGGTTGAGGGGATTTTATAAAGTCTCTGCATTTTGTGTACATTTCAGACATGAGACTCAATCAGCCCTGAACCCATTGGAGAGGGATTTCAGACTCAGGGAAACAGCAGCTCTCTCCAGTTTCTGAGGAATGGAATTTTGTAGATAGCAACAGACTGAAAGACAGAATCAGTTAATCCTTGAACTCAAGGAAATCTTGGCCCATATCCTGGATGATACAGGACGCTGAAAACTGATCAGGTCCCAACTTCACCTAAACACATTTCTCCTCTCCTCAGAATCAGTGGCTTTTGACCATGGCTGTTTATCAGCTGGGCCTCACTGTTGTACCTCAGCGAATGCAGAAGCAAACAGCTTTCTGTGGAGGACATGGTGGAAGGTGGCAAAGGCCAGGCAGGTACATGTGGCTCAGCTGCCGCTCAGCAATGGGGCTGGCAGCTAAGCCAAACTCAGCCCTTTCAAAAGCAGCCTTTTGATAACACTGATTACATTTCCCCCACTGGAGCCTAGGGCTGATTGAGCAACAGCCAACTTCTCTGGGTAACAAAGAGGAGGGGAAAGTAATCCAAACACAGGTTTTATTATAAAAACCAGGGAGTGAGAGAACTATGTTTATTCTGTAAGATAACACACCTGCTTGGTGCTTGGGAGGCTCATTTCCATCAGTTGCCATGGCAAACTCGTTATACTTGAAGGCCATGTGGCTTTGTTTCCTTTTGAGATATGGTCCTTGTCCTACCTTTTCTAACAACTCCAACACAATGACACGGAACCTATCAACAGCATAATTGATTTCTCCTCCCCTCTACCAACAGTTCACATTTGTTCAGCACAGGACCGAGTCTGCCTTCTCCTTTGAACTCCTTGCTAACCATAAAGGCGTGCTTCAGAGAGCCATCCTCATTAACATTCCAGGTCCCGCTTCCCTTTCAGCAATAAACAAGCCCCGCATCAATGGCCTCCTTCCTTCCAGTTTTACAAATGAATGGCTCAGTTCCATGTTTTGCTGCAGACCCAGGTGCCCAGGCATATAATGCAGGACTAAGAATCACACAGGAGGGACTAAAAATAGAACAGCAGTTTTGGACACATAGCAGAGCAACTACTTCATCTCAACTTGCTTTGCGCACTAAGCCTAATGGGACCCATCAGGCAGGAGTTCTCTCATGCTTGCTCTCTCCCTCCTCTCCCCAGCTGCCTTCTACCCATCAGTGCCTTCCCTGGGAAGGGAACACAGGGAGGTCACGCAGAGGGCAAGAAATGTGTGCCCTCCTAGTTTTAGTTTACAAGTCCTGAGAGATCTGGGGGTTGCAAGTCCTTCTTCCTTAGGAGCGTTTCTAGAAAAGAACGGGCAAGCCCAGTGTGTGGCCACCTTTGCCTAGGAACACTCTGAACCGAGACTTGTTCAGTAAAAGCTCAAATAGGACTTCCTAATCACCCAAATAAATCTGACCTAGACCTGTATGCACAGGTTCCTGGAGTAGTTAAGCAGAAAAATTCAATTATACGAACTGTTCCTCTTATAGTTCCCACCTGCGTGGCTTGAGGCTAAGAAACAGAGAACAAATACAGGTTGGAGTGTGGGTTGTGTGGCGTGCAGGGAGAGTCTATGAATGCCACCTACCTTCCACCAAATATCCTGTGACTCCGTCTGAAAGCATTTCCAACAGAAAATGCAAATGTCAGCGTGAGTTAGGAACATGCTACCCTGGGTGGGTATGAGGTCTCCCAGAATGCCAGCTGTGCTGCCTGAACAGCTGAACTGCTCTGTGTTGATGTTTCTGCCGGTCAAAGTGTCCTTCCTGAAGCCACCCCCTACCCAAAAGAGAGCTAACAGGACCCCATATTCCCCTATCTCCATACCTATTATTCCAACAAGTGCTACTTTGTAGAGTCTGAAGTGAGAGAGAGAGAGAGAGAGAGAGAGAGAAAGATGAACATCATGGCATTTAAAACTAAAACCCTAGTAGGCATGGTGGCAGATGCCTATAGTCCCAACTATGTGAGGGAATCATTTGAGTTCAGGAGTTTGAGGTCAGACAGGGTAACACAATAAGAACTTGTCTCAAAATAAACTAAATAAATACAAATAAATAAAATAAAACAAAATCCCCTTTCATTGTTGATGCTTTGGAGATTGGCCAGACAAAACTAAAAGAAACTGATCTAATAACACATTTGTCCATGAGCTCCAGGAAGATGTCAGGACCTTTTAAGTTTCACATAATACCAGTTCAAAATGTACCACACTACTTCAGGAAAAGCTATGCTCCATGTAATCACAGCAATAATTAATCCCCAAAGAATTTGTCACAGAGCAAGTTGCAACAGGATCATTTAATCCTCCAGCCACCAGAGGACAGGTAGGAAGCACGTCTTCCCTCAGACCTCCCATGTTCATGAGGCTTTGTGTCCCTCAGGGAAACACTGGGTCATTTGTCAAGCAAATCTCCCATCAAAACTCAGAAAAGCTTTTCACGTTCACCAAGCAATATCTACAGTCTGGAAACCAGAGCACCTGGGTCCTAGCCCTTGGGTGGACTTTGACAAATCACAGTTTCTTTGGTCTTGTCTTCTTCTCATATAAAATAAAGCTGCAGAGTGTATGATTTTTAGGTTTCTTCCAGACTGGAAATTCCATGACAGAAATAAATAATCTGAAAATTTAATTATTTTGGTTCTTTCTTCCTTGTAATTTGTTGCTTATTTGGTCAGTGGCCTCATATTGAACTACTTATCTTAAAAAACTGTACATAATTCTCCAGAATAAGAGGCATTGCTTCTTTGTGGTATTTTCCCACAGTATAACTTTCCTTCTTTTCATTTGCTACTAGGAAGTGGGTCTAGCTGATTCTTCTTGGTTCACTAAGAAGAAACAGAAAGATCTTGTGTTTCAAGAGACTCTTTCTGGATCATTTCCCAATGATCATAGTACTGTGCAATCCATTTGGCAAAGGTGATGGTGACAAAGGGGTGTTTGGCAAAGTGGATGAGGTGGTTGCCGAAGTGGCTGGGGTTAACACAAATGCTTTTGGCAAAACATCATGAAACAAGGATGGAATGTTTAAAATGGGGAACTTGCATCCCTTGCTGAGATGACTCTCAGAAAAACTCAGTCTTTAAAGAGGTGATTTATTTAGTAGGAAACAAAGAAAAAGGGTATCAACACCAATAATTTTTTTGAGCACTGAGCTGAGAAATAGCTAGTATAATACCTCAATTGTAGCCATGTGTCTTTGACCAGTAGTGAAGTTAAATTAAACCAACAGGCAGGTAGTTTCTGAAACCAGCCTCTAAAATTAAAAATTACATTAAAAATTCTAAATTAGCCACTAAATATTTGACAAGAACCTAAGGTTACATTCCACACCTTCTCACCCTCAAAATAAATTTAGCTCTGAATAAAGCCTTGGAGTGGAGTTATTTTTACTAAGTCAACCATACCCACTTCCACCCCCCAAATATCTACAGATGAATCTATGAGGACCGTAATGGCGTCTAAATAAACCAAGTGTTAATCTGAGTGTCTGTGCTCTAGAAGAGTTGTTAAAATTCCTTTGATGTCGGTAGTCATCAGATTTCACAGAAACTTTACAGGCCAAGCTGTCATCACTTCGCCAGGTGGTTGTGTGTGTGTGTGTGTGTGTGTGTGTGTGTGTGTGTGTGTGTGTATTTTTTTTTTCTGCCACTGCTACCAGCTGTATTACTTCAATAATTATTGGTGGAACAGTAGGGACCTTTCTCTTAACCACCTGGAGTAGGAGGTGTTGAAAGAACTAGTGAGTGAGAGCTCAGAACAGGTCTCAGAAGAGAGGAGAACAACACATTACTAAGTCTTTTCAGACTACAAATAATTCAGAGTAAGAATGCTAATGTCATTTATTGTGTGTAGAATCCTTAATAATGGTGTCACCTTGGACCAAAGAAATAAAAAGAGAGGAGACTTGGAAGTTTGTGTTTGGGGTGTTTTCTGGGAATTTTGAGTTGACCAAGCAAATCAGTTCTACCAGGTTTCAAATTCTACAGAATGAAGAGATTCTTGTCACAAAGTCTGACAAATAAGTATTTAAGCTATGCAAATTTTTCTTTTCTGTTCCTATTTTTTAAAAAAACATTCACCTTACCTAACAGACCTCTGAGTTACAAAGTAAATGACACTAGTATTCTTTAGAATTTCATTAGCAACCTTTCTTATTAATAATTGACAAATATTTATCGTTTAGGCATGATGACATTAAGAGTTAAACTGTCTCACAGCAAAATTGAGCCTGGTTTAAGAGATTAGGTAGACAAGCAAGGGGAAACAGTAACTCAATTTTCATATTGATTTGCTATCTTGGACTAGAAGGCCATCCAACCTTGCTCCACCATTTATTTAGATTTTATATTTATATATAGGTATTTATATGTATTTTTATTTTGAAGATCAGATAACCTATACATATATATACATACATATACATACATATATATATGTATATATATTTCCAAAATTATTAACTGAGGGCATTGTTGAAGTTTAAAAACTTTAAGAATATACTCACTGTGTACAGTTTTTATGTTTCTGTCTATCAGTTAAAAATAAATTTAATCCCAGAAAAGAAAATATAAATCTTTCACCCGAGAGACATATTTATAATAATAAAAAATCACTCCTCAAAAGAATCTTTAGAATTTAGATCCCAGACTTCTGGGGTCATTAGAGATTTCTCGTTCACGTGATTTTATAAATGAGCCTCCTCTGTGTCAGGAAAGAGAATGGTCTTGCCAAAGGCCACACCAGTGGTTAATGGGAGGACTGAAACTAGAACACAGGTCCCCTAAACCACAACTCTAGCCTACATCCTTGTACATCCCCTGTCAATTCATACACATTCTGAAAGATTTGTACATATATAGCCAGACTCTGAGAACCATACTCACGCTGTTCTGATTTTTGTATTTTTGTGGTGCTGGGCCTCATACATGCTAAGCTCTATACCACTGAGCTGCACTCTCAGTCCAGTAACACTATTTAGAATCACGGTTGTGTGCAGTACAGAATGGTTTTGTTAAAAATCTCTACTACAAGAATAAAGCTTTCGTAATTATGTTAAAAGGGGTGTTCAATATCTGGCTTTAATCCTTTAATACAGAGAAGTCTGTTACACTTATCTATATTGTATCTAAGCAGCTTTGTTGATGTCCTGGGAAGCAGCTGCCCATATCATTATAAATTAATACATGTTTATCTCCTTTGAGATAAGTGAAACACACTCTTATGAAACAGTAAACATTTTATTATTTGTACATGAAGCAGTTTGGTCAGAGGACACGCAAACATCTGGCTAACTCATAAAAGTAGCCTGTAGCAACAGGAGTGTTTGTGGTCACTTAACGTTTGTTGCTGTATCTCTGACTCACATTGTGTGCTCACTAAGCATCAAGAGGCCCACAATGGACATCAGGCTCTTCAGAGAACATGCTGGACATTGGCACTTTCAGTAGATTTTTACAAAGCAGGCAATGTAGAGCAGCCTGTCGGCGGGGTGGGGGCAACTATGCTGCAGAAGAGATATTCTGGGGCCTGAGGGCCCCTCGGGGAGGAACTAAGAAACAGCCAAGAGTATGGCTGACCAGATTCAACTAGAAGAATGCTGTTAGATCAGGTCCCAAGTGTGGCATGGCCACAGTGATCTGAAACCGGCTGGTATCACAGGGGAACCACCTGAAGGGTAGGCAGAGGCCCCCGGGGAGGAGCCACGTATTCTTCCTCTCTGAGCAGCCGCAACAGGATATTTTTTTTATTCTTGGGCCAGCTGTAAACGTGAGTGTTCTGCAGCCAGGTGGGCACATGCTCCTGCGGGAGAATGGAATGACAGGAGCAAAGGTCATTCAAGAAAAACCTGGATTCCAGATCCCAGGCTCAGTTCCCAAACATCTCTGGCTTTCCCTTCATGGGCGTTTCCCACCAAATTACCCTGGGAGTTGCGTTGTTTTGCTTTTGGAAGGGTTTTGCATGTGAAACGCTCTTGGCTTCGGGTGCAAGCTGTAGATCTCATTATGGAAACCATATGTGCACAACATTTTCTGTCAGTCTCCCAGGCTACCTGCCCTTGGCATTTCAATGTGCTTTTCACCACCCTCACATAAAAGGGGTAGGACAGAGGTCACCCAGAGTGATGTGAATTCCCCTGTGACTTCTGGAGATGGATGCCCAGCCTGTGGGCTTAATCTAATTCATTATCCTTTCACTCTGGCCTGTAGTTGAAGGAATCCTTAAGACCTCACTTATGAGGTAAAGGCAGGAATTGCGAGCCTAGGACCTGGGGGGCTCAGTTTTTGACTGTTCTTCTGTACTGGATGCCAGGCAGATAAGTAAAATGGGTACTGTGTTCAAGAGTAATATGTATCATGGAGTAAAATAAACCAGAGAAGGGAGAAGGGAGTGCTGAGGCAAGGGTGAAAGGTTTGCAGTTTTAAAAGAGATGCTTAGAAAAAGTACACTGAGAAAATGAGCAAAGACCTAAAGGAGCAAAGAGAGACAGCTTTGTGTTTATTCTATTCAGGCAGATACTTAGCAGGTGCAAAGGCCCTGTGGTTGGAGTATGCCAGGCCTGTTCATAAGCAACAAGGACAGTGTGGCTACAGCAGAGGGAGTGAGAGTGAATAAGCGAGGTCTGGAAGTAGAGGAGTCTGTGTTATATATAGGGCTTTGTAAAATTTTACTTTGAGATAGATTCTTTGGGGTCTGTAGGAGTTTAGAAGCAGTACCTGGTATAGGTCAGGCATCATGCCAAGAATGGAAGATACCCACTGAAAAAGACACAGTAACTGTCTTAAGAAGTTTAAAATCTTTACATGGTGGCAAAATGTGCATGAACTTTTTTTCCAGGCAGTGCTATACCAATGAGGCTCATGGTGGGAGCAGTCTGTCCTCAGTAAGGATGAAGAGGATTTAAAAACCAACTAGAAGTTGGTGGGTTTTTTTACATCATCATGCCCTATTAATTCTAAATAATTATTTCCAGCACCTCCACCTACATACCACTGACAGGAAATACTACAGCTAAGAGTGCTGAAGAGAGGGACCATGAAATGGACTGGTGTTGGGGGAAGGGAGGTCTCAAGGCAAGCTAGAGACACAAGGATCAGCAAGAGTTCACTAGGCAGACAGAGGGAACAGGGAGGACAGAAGCACAGGGCCATGAAAAGACGTGGCATGCTGAAATGGTCCAGCATGACCCAAGTGTAGGGCACAGAGTGAAAGAAAGAAGACTAACGAGTAGCCAGTTTTCTTTTCAGGGGCCTCTTCTGTCATGCTAAGAAACGCAGATGTGATTTTGTAGATAGTGGGAAAAATGCCACTAAATTTTTAAGCTGGAGAGAAGCAGATCAGATCATCTTCTAGATGTTCTTTGTGGATGACAGAGCAGCAGATGTCTAGTATAGGTCACAGTGGGGACAAGGAGATCGGTAAGGTGACTCACCCGTAAATGAGGGCAGTGAAACCGTGGGTAGGGGAGTGGGGGAAAAGGTGTACTGTCATTACAGCCTTATGTGTCCCATTCACATAAACTCGACCCTCTCACATCCTTATCCAGCACTGAGGTCTTATGCAGTCCTGACATCTAGGGATTCTCCAAGGTGAAGCTCTGGGTCTGAGTTCAGGTTGCTGTGTCTGATTCTCAATGTGTTTGCTTCACCGATGCTTTCCCTTTGCCAGGCCTAGAATACACCCTCCACTGCCCTCGGTTACTAAGCCTGTCTTCATATCTTCACACGGACCACAGCAGAGCTCACATTAAGTGACTGAAAATTTAATTCTTATATTCTGCAGCTTTGAGAACTGAACTACATGCAACAAGATACTTACGGGGAACAAGCAGAAATCATTTCCATAGCTTGACTCTTATGTGCAAGCAATAAGAAGTATAAATAAACAGTCTCTTATTTTGTGAGTTAAAACACAAGCTACTCCTTTGTGTGTCATGTCTGTCTGAACAATTAGAGAGCCAGGATCCTACCAGACAACACTTCCAAACCTTTCTGATTCATGCTGCTGGACTGAGTGATAAAGCTTGTTGGTTATTCTGGTAACAATGTGACCTCTAAGGATTGACAAAGAGTTGACAAGCTTTCTCTTCTTAAAACCCCACATAGCAAACAAATGGAAGACTGAATTGTAAGGCTTTTTGTTTGTTTGTCTGTTTACCTTGTTGGCATTTGGAAAGAGCACAGGGATGAATCTGAAATTCATGCTTCCTTGTTTTATGAACTCAATCTGCATCTGAAACCAAACAAATATGAAGGTTTAATTTCAGGGAAGATGAGTTGGTGGTATTCACAACAATGCAGACCTGCATACTATCTGATTGCCTTATTTGAGAGCCCACATACTTAAACTTCAAGCTCTTCTCATTACACACCATTCCTTTCACTCATTTATCAATCATTTCTCAAAAGTCACATTCTGTGCTAGACCCTGGGTTTTCAGGATTAGGATGTGCTCCTGCATGTGCCTGTGCCAGCTTGCATCAGTTTACAGGAGCCAGTTGTGTGCACATCTTCCCAATTTTGTGTGCAGTGACTGCATATTATATTAGTAGCTTGCAACTTCCCATGGTGAGCGTATTTAATTTACAAATCCAGATATTTTTTGAGAGCCAGTTTAGCAAGGCAGCACTGATACTATCCCTGCTTCCTAAAGCCAGTAGTCTAGAGAGCAGACAGAAAATTACCAACCAGAGGGCAACGTGAAAAGTAGGAACAATGGGGGCTGTCTATTCTGCATCAGAGGTTCTGAAGAACAGTCACAAAGAAGGAGTCATTTTGGTGTGGAAAGATTTTGGTGAGGTAGGGAGAATGGGGGGACAACCTCAGCAGAGGACAGAAGGGGAGAAATCCAGAAATGTGGAAGGGTGTCGCTGTCGATGGGACAGCTAGCAATCCACTGCGGCTTGGAAGACAGCAGGGAGACCAGGTTGGGAGGACAGTTTCACAGAGCCCCGTCACCCAGGCCCGAGGTGTCTCCAATATCAGTTCAATTCATTCTCATGCTGTGGTGGCCTGAGAAGATTTAGCTGCCAAGAGCTCTATCAAAATGAGAATTTTCAATAGCAGGGGAGTTAGAGTCTTCCAAATCCTGAGACAAGCACAAAGCTTTCAGTCATTTGATAACAGTGAGATGAGGAATTACATGTTCCCGACCATTCCATCTTACTGATTTTTATAACCAAGAAGTTTTCCTAGTGCATAGTTATAAAAAACAGAAGTAAAGGAAGTGACAATGGTGACTACTGGTTATTGACATCACCATAAAAACCCCTTTTGATCACCCACTCTCATATACTAACACACACAATTACACAATACAAATCTGCCACAAAGTATTTTCTCAGAACTACCTCCCTTTAAAAATCAGAAGACAACACCAAAAACATACTTTAAAATGTCTCAAGTACTGCACAACTCGAAGTCCTGACCACAACAGCACAGTGAACACAGGAAAGGAAGGGCAGGGGTCTGCAAGCCAAAAGTAAAAGATTGGTTTCCTTTCTGACCGCTAGAATGCTGCAGAGTGAAGCCTGGCTTGTTCAGTCTGTTGAGGGACTCGCCGGTGACGGTTCGTTTTGACTAGCTCTTATACGTCCAGATACTGGCTTTCTGTGAAGTGTTTGCTCTGCAGTGCAGTTGCTCATGAGTGCCTCTTCACGCTTTCTGTCATGGTCAAGTTCTTATCGTACCAGGCTTTCGGATGCCTGGAGGGGACCAGGAAGTCAGCCAGGTGGGCAGGAGATTATCTGGCCTATTCAAACCTTTCTGTGATGAGGAAATGTCCAAGGCATTGGTGCCCAAGAAACCGAGGTTGGAGACAATGTGTTTACAGTTGGCACAGTCAGCCAAGTTGAGGTGGAGATTTGTGTTGCCGTCTGGCTTTGCCACACATCAGCAGGCTGGACAGTTTTCCTCAAGAACTGACAGGGACCTGGAGCAATTTCCTCACACTAGCTGTGGGCTCCTGGCACTGGCAGGTTCTTAGAAATGCAGACAGGACATCCATCAGGTGTCTTGGGGACACATAGATGTGACACAGTCAAGGGATGGCGGCACCTGGAGCCAGCCGTTATCTTTTAGGTCAGTTTACTTCTAGGGATCAGATCAGGTAACACTGGAATAGGAGAGAGATCTCCTTCTTTTCTCTTGGCCTTGCTTTTAACCTCACCATCTTCCCTCAGCTTTTGCTTTGAGTTGAGAGCTCAAATGGGTGATCCACACTTGGTGGATGAAGAGACAGAGACCTGAAGACTCAAATAGGGGCACCCACTGGCCCACCCATCTGCCCTTTTTCTGTGCTCCTGAACCATGGGACAGACCTGGGGTTTGCCTTCACTTCCTCTGAGGTAAGATCGCCTGTCCTGAGACTGCCTGAGTGCTTCCTGCATTGTGCCACCCCCTAATTCCCTCTGGGCCATGTCTGCTTTCTGCCCTACCTGCCCTTCTTAGTCAGTGATCCTTTATGCTCACACTAGGCACCTCCCCCTTTGTGTGGTGTTTCAATGGATCTTACACATTTTAATTCAGTAGATTTTCAAGCCTTTAAAATCTCAGAACCCTTGGTAAACAAGCTTGAGACATACAAACCCGCCCTGGTTGAGATGGAGTCCCAGAGCCAGCTCCTGCTCCAGGGACATGTGGAGCAGTTTACAAGTCACAAGTGTAGTCTGGCTTCCTGGTCAAGCTGAAGCCATCTCCATAGCATCTCTAAAACCATGGAGAGGAGAAAGATTGCTGTGCCATAGTCAGTTCCAAAGTTGGGTGATATGTCCACACAGAATGTTCTCAGGTACTGAGCAAGGAAAATTTCTTCCCATTTGTCTTACTGGTTTAAATTTGACCAGGCCTAATAGTGCAGGTGGGACAGTGGAATATTCTCCATCCTCTGGTAAGCACCTGGGATGTGTCAGATACTTCACAAATACACCTCATTTCATCTTCACAATGCTGTGCTAGGGCCCACTTTGTGAACAAGGAGACAGATGGGCCACATTTACATTAGGAAGTCAAATCTGAACCAAGCCTCTGAAAAGGCAGGGCACAGTGGAATACACGTTCAAGGGAATGCAACCGACATTCATTTTCTCCCTCACCCCACACCAGGGATCAAACTCCAGACCTTGCTGCAGCGCCACTGAACTAAATCCCCAGTCCATCCCCTCGCTTGACAGCTGGGAGGCCTGGGATTCTTTACCCAGCACCTGGAGACTTCAGTGGCCTCCAGCGAAGAACTGACCTGTCCTGCAGACAACACCTGTCCCTGAGGGCCAGGGAGGCCCTGTGGTCTCCTCACCACTCACCATTCGATGGATGTACTTAGTATGTAAACCGTGCTCATCCTCATCCAGCTGCGACTCAGCGCCTTCCACATCCTGTTTGTATTTGGGGCTGATTGCTATGATTATCATCACTGTTTTCTGTTAATGAGAGGGAGAAAAGCATGTTTATAGAAGTGGGAAGTGCGGTCCATTTGGTGACGGCTGGCTGGAAACTGGCCAGCAGGACGATGAGCATTCCCTGACCGGCTGGAGGATGGAGGGCCAGGCTCCCCCTCTGTGGAAAGCAGAAGCCAGTGGCTCCACCGGGGCACACTCTGGTCTCCACTCTTTTCTGCCTCTCTGCCCAGCTCCTTTCAAACGTGCTAGCAAATGGCTCAGGGAGGAGCTCTCCTAAGCACACTTTTGCCCACCATTTTCTACAACCATCTCTAATAAATGTCTGACAGCCTGAATCACTAAGGGGGAAAAGGCACTGCAGGCTCAAGGATGAAAAGATTCTCCTCCCTCCCTGCAGCAGGATCTGAGCCGTCACTTGCAGCACTCCCCACCGACCGCCCAGCTTCCCGCGTCTGCATTAGTGCAGTCAGTAGGCGGAGATCCTTCCGCACAAAGCAAACAGGCTGCAGACAAAAGGAAAAGCTGCAAAACCCCAGCCTGCTGAGACTTCCCCCACAACTCCCGCGCAAAGAAACTGCTGCGGACACAGACACACTGGCAACAATCAATTTCTATCTTGTTAAAGCACAGAGTGTCTCAGTGACTGATACAGATTCTGTCAGTAGAAAACAAATCACGGGCCGAGCGGTGAGTGGGCGCCTTGGGGGTGGCATGCTGTGCCGCCAGAGAGGGTGCCTGGGGAACCTCTTCCACCCAGTCCTGCAAAAACACTTGGGGTGGCCTCAGATTCAATTGAATTCTGCTGCTCCCTCTCCACTCGCCGCCTTCATTTCCTCCTTTCCTATGCTGCTCTAGAAATTGTTTGCTCTGATTGTTATCAACCACCTGTGTCTGGTTTGACCGTTATTTCCTTCCTGGGCATGTCCAGGAGGGCGACCCCATCTTTCCTTTCCAAGTCTCTGCACAGCTTCCAACAATAAAGTCTTTGTTCAGACTTTCTCGGCTCTGCGTGGATATATCAAGGCTTCTTCCATAGCCTAACCTCACAAGATAATCGTCTTTCTTGCCAACAAATATTCTCAGAATTTTGGAATATACTTACATCCCGAAGGTAGCGCTCCATCCACTTAATGATATCAATGCCTCGGATTCTATCCTCAAATATATCGATCTGCAAGAGAAAGATGTGGGAGTGGGCTCTGACTGAGACACTTTTCTCTGGATGCAGAGGCTGAGAAAATGCAGAGGCTACGTACACTTACAACTCGAAAAGTTACTAGTGTTTTCTGCAAGGAAAAGCATATAAATCCAAAAAGCAAAGCAGAATTTTCACAAAATATTGCCTATTTCAACATTAGTAGGCATTGAAGTCTTTAATACCTATAATTAGAATGTAGTGGTTCACATTCAATGGATCTGTGGCTATATAAAAATGTTTTTAAAAGCCTGAGGGGCACAGTATACTACTGAACTGGATGTGAGCCAGGTGCATTATATTTATAGATATGTGAAATTTGAAAGTCTGAAAAGCCAACATAATTCTGCGGTTCTGGATGTGTGACATACAAGTACTGAGACACAACTGTGGTGCTTTACTTGCATTATTCGGGTCAGTATTATGTTATTGTGTCCACTTTCAGTCCATACATTTCAAAAGGACTGTAGGAAGCGTGAAGCAGAGGCAAGGAACAGTAGCCAAAATAATAACTGAGATAGTAGTGAAAAGGCTTATGATGGAAGTCAAGGTGAACTCTTGGGCAGTGATAAGGTTCATATTTAGTAGCAGTCTTCAAGTCTTTGAATGGGTATTCAAAGAAAACTCTAACAGTATTTTCTGTTTTCTAGAGGACCAAATAGGGGGCCTTTTTTAGGCTCAGACTTGTGGTAGTGAGGAGTGTGTGTCCGTGTGTGTATGTACAAGGTACTGAATGGAAGAGAGATTATATACTGGGTGACTCAGAGAGAGGGTCCTTGAGTTGGGATTATTTGATTCAGCCATACGGCTCTCAGATTAATTGTCCTAAATGTTACTTTGCCACTTAAGACTACTCAAGACAAGTCCTAGCCATCATCAAGCTTGCTACCTTTTCTCCTGGTGTGATCTGGCAACTTCACCACTCCCCTTATTGGCCTCCCCTACGTGCTAAAAGCACAATCCAAACTCCCTGCCCTGTTAATCCCTCCTATACATTAACCTCCTCCTCCTTCCTTCATCAAACTCTCCCCCACTACGACGACTAGTGTACCATGAACACATTAGAACATTCTCTCACTGACGAAATGTCTCGGAGCTTTGTAATAGTCCCTCTTTTAGGTTTGCCTCAAATGCCCCATGCAGTGCCCCACCCCTCTTGATGTATCCATGGGGAAGAGAGGACCCTGATGCATCAGTACTAACTTAGCTGTCCAAGATGCGGCTCTGTGATTCCACCTCCAGGCTTCATAGGATGAGGGTCAAGGACAGATTTAAATTCTACCTAAATAGCCCCTGATTGTTAAGGTCAAAAAAAAGTAGGGCTGGGGATTTAGCTCAGTGTTTCCACTGCCTGCCTTGCAAACGCCAAGGTCCTGAGTTCAATCCCTGGTGCAACACACACACACACACAAAGCAGAGATCTTCTCCAGTGGCAATCAGTATATTTAAAAGAGATGAAAAGTAGGATCTCTGTGGAAATGTTGACCTTGTGTCTTATGCATTGATTTGATGTCACCATTACCATCATAGTGTTTTACTCCAGAAATGAGAAAGTGAAATTGTAGATTCCATGTAGTCACGCAGTTAGGTTGTATACATTACAGGCATTTTTTAAACTTTTTTACATTCTAATTTTTAAAAATCTATTGCAGAATAAGGAAAACTTCAAATAAAAATGTTAAACGGTGCTCAGTGCCCTCGTTTTCCTCTTATTTTTGCTCCTCTTTATTCTTCACCATTTCTATTCGTCCACCACGAATTTTTCACTACTTAATATAATTCACGCTCAGTAAATACCTAGAAGAGACCTCTGGGAGGGAAGAGAAGTGATCTCTGTGTTTGAGGAAAGCCAGCCCTCTGAGGAGCGTCCTGTGGTATTTTATTTACCTAAAGAAAAACTTACATGGCTTTAACCTGTGTGTTTGGGGGAACGGGAGGAATTATGCATTTGGGATTGCTTGGGCCAAGATCACAGTGGACCTGTAGGGCTGGGTTAGGTCTGTGTCCCCTAGATCAAGGTGTGGAAAGGCAACTTTGGGCGGTGGGGGACACAGGTTCCCAGGGTCCTACTTCAAACCTCAAATCCAGCGCAGAACAAAAGGAGCCTGTTAAACAAGCAGGTGAGTGGGGAGGTCTGCAGCTTCCTGCACCACAGGGAGCACAGCTAGTGAGAAGGGACAAAGGTACCAAATACAGTGAGAGTCTGGCTTTTCCTTCAGGCCAGGGGCCAGCTGTCTTTTTGGTCAGCATTAGCACCATTTGAGCTGTTGGGAGGTACTCAGGATCATAACAAAAAGCATATGGCGGAAGAATACTACATTTAGTTCAGAACCACATAAATATCAACTACCCTTCGTCTTATGTTTTTTCTTGCCACTGTATTGTAGCTGTTCAGTTTTCTCTTTGGACAAAATACTCACTGCAGTTTGGAAGCCATTCACCAACAAAAAGTTCACGAATTTCACCACCTCCATAGCTGTGTCCATAGAATAAGTGATAAAGACTTTTCCTAAGAGAAAAATTTCACATTTATTAGAAACTATTTGGATTAGTCTATTCTCCACAAAACTTCTAAATCATACGTAAGGTCTTTTGTCCATCTGGAGATGTATGGGAAACCTTGGGGTAAGGTGGTCCACTGCCTGCAGGGGTGGGGACTGCTGTCTTCAGGGCACAACTCTTCAGGCCAAAGGGCTCTGGCCTGTCCCAGGGAGTGCAGACTGCTCAGGGTGAAAGGAAGTCAGAGCGACAGGTAGTGGGGGTTGGGGGGGCAATGACAGGAGACAATCCTCAGTGGTGTGAAAAACCACATGAATTATTAACAACTACTAAAAATTCACTGCCTAGAACCTGTGGTCCTTATGTTCAAGTCACAGATTGGTTTTTGTTTTCATTTTGTTTTTTCAGAGACATTTGACTTGGTGCCCAAGGAAAATATTCTCACAGCAGGCCACGAAGTCACACTTACTGAAAGGCCACCCAGAGGTGTCCTCTTTTGATCTCATGATACTCTTGCTGCCCTGAACTGTTGCCCAACAAGTGGGGGAAGAGCCAGAAAGCAATTTCTTGCCCCCCTGCTTCCACCCATCTACCCACTTTTGCAGAAAGGACAGAAAGTTGAAGTAGAGTAACAAACAGCTCAGAAATATTGGTAAAACTTCAGTAGCTTCAGAAAGACAGGAGCTTCAAGGAGAGACACTGCCTCAGGGCAGACCAACATCACAGACTCCTCTCTCATCTGTCCGCCAGCTTAGAGCCCCAGACAGTGCTACCGGGGCAAGCTTGCCCCAGTCAGGACGAGAAGTGGTATTTTCTGAGGCTGTAGTCTTTGGGGAAATTATCTGGCTAGCATTTTTTTTTTTTTGGGTACCGGGTCTTGAACTCGGGTCCTTGCGCTTGCAAGGCAGGCCACCAAACCGATGAGCTAAATCCCCGGCCCGCTGGCTAGCATTTTAATGTGAGAGATGAATGATCTCTATATGTTGGCTTTTAGCATGAAATGGACCAGGTAAATCTGAAGGATCTTCCTGGGGCAGAGGGTAGAGAAGAAAGAGGGCTGAAGAAAAAATGAGTTTGGATATATTCATCTATGCTTAGACCTCTGTTTTTTTAAAACACATCTCTCAAACAGTAGTGTGTATAAGGGCCATATTAATTCATTTAAGCAGCCAGGCATATTGATGGCACTCAATTTATTTTCTTCTCAATACTACTATTCACCCAAACTAACACTACCATTCACTTAAGCTTCCTTCCTATAGAGGAAAGTTTACGTGACCCTTCTAGATTATGATAAGCTAGATATGCGCTACAGACTGACATCAGAACTTTTCTATTCATAACAGAAAATATAAAAATAAATTGCATAAGATTTAAGATGTTTAGAAGTACAATTTTTAAATGAAAACAATAATGGATCTTTTTTTTTCTTTTATACTGGGGATGGAACTGAAGTTGGGACCTTATGCTTGCGTGAGGCAGGCAGTGGAACCACTGAGCTAAATCCCCGGCCCTGGATCATTTTTCATAGAAATCTTTCAGAGTTGTAAATGGTGGAAGAGCACAGATCACCCAAAAAGAATTAGCAAATTCAAAGGGCTTCATGTCAAGCTGGTGCAGAGTTTCCCAGATTTGGAAAGACATTATTAGAATCACCTGAGCTTCTCTAGGAAGCAGAATGGATAATAAATTCACAAATAGTGGCTGTTTTCTTAAGATTTCTGGAACTAACTATCCTGACTGACCTTATTCTGAGAACATTTTGGTGATATTTCAACATTTCTGTTTTTGGCAGCAAAATATGGAAAAAGAATCATCACCTGACACTTAGTTGAATGTTTCTTTAAATAAAAGGCTTAGTTTGCATTTGGTTGTGAAGCAGTATGGAGAATGTGAGACTGTTTTTTTTCCAAACAAGATTGCTCATTCCTACAGGAAATGACCTCGTTCTTGATAGCTGTTGCTAATTTATGGTGAGACACCAGGTTTCTGCCCAGTGCCACAGGGACATCCATCCAATCAATTTACCCAGGGACAAGTCCATTCAAGGGCATCATTTAGAAGAGGAAAAAGGCATTCGGGTTATTTGTTGTAGCAGTATGTGTTGAAGAAAAATCTAGTGGTAAGCAGTTTGCGAGCATTGCTGGTGCTGTCAGAATCACTAAAAACAGTCCCCCAAAATTCTGGTTACTTTTCAAGCAAAAGCAAGAAAGTAAATCTTCTTTTATTGTGTATATGAGAAATATGTGAGGTTATGGATGAATGTTCAAGAAGTGTTCTCAAAGTACAAAACCTGACAAGAAGAAGAAGGAAAAACTGTGTTGCCAACTTACGCAATTCTTCTGGCAAATTACTTATTTTCAGAGTTCCTCGTGCTAAGGGGTTACTAGGGGGTCTAGGCACAGCAACTAGGGACGTAGCCTGGGGAGCCTGTGGTCTCAACTCTGCGGCATGTTCTGAGGACTGCTCTGGAGCTCCAGTCCCATTAAGTGCCTGGTGATGCAGCTGGTCCCTGGAAAAGAAGACATACAAAGTAAATTTTCATTTTTCTACAAACAAATATCTCGGGGAGGACAGAACGTCTGAAAATCATGGGAAGATACAGTGAACAGTCTCTTTCCTCTGCCTCCATTTCCTATCTGACAGAGAAGAAAGAGGGATGTTCCATGAAGTTTCTGTCAACAAGCAATTCAGCTGGCTGCCATATGTAAGTTCTTGTTTTAGGGGTCGAAGAAGGAAAAAGGATTTGATTTCTGTATTCAAGAACTGTCTAATTGGAAAAATAAGTCCCATTCACAGGGCAGGCAAGGTCACCAACAAACAAAGTAGAATGATGAGTAACATAAGCTGATGTGCAGGCATTCAGATTGAAAATATGTGACTTTTAGCTCACGATAGATAAAATTTAATCATGTGTCAAAAAGTTAAAAAAGGATATGTATGTTTAAAAGTATTTAGGTTGTTAATATATGAATGAAAATCTGATTTAGATGAAATTTTAAAAGAAATTTCTGTCACACTGAGACGTGATATCTTTGTTAGTATTTTGTCAGTATTCCCATGAGCACAATCAGATGCACTTGTGTGAAGTTTGGAAGGAAGAAGCAAATGAAAATCATACTTCTGATACTTCTCACGTGGCAAGCAATCATGAGGTGCTAAATTTTCCTCAGAAGCATCCCAGTATCCCATGAACAGATTCCCAAACATCAAGGGCAAGGCATGGCATCCATCTTTTGCCATTATGGATCTGGCAGGCACAGAGTAGATCCACCAGCTGCAGGGGAGGTGAGAGTGTCAGCTCTCTGATCCCCCACTTTCCTGAGTGCGCCAGAGGAGGCAGCCTCTTTGTTGATCCTACCCTGTGGGCTTCTTCTAGGATCTTCCCTGAAGCCCAGGGAAGAGGTTGCTCCTCCAACCTCCAGTAGTTCTGTAAGCACCCAATTCTCTGTATTGAAACCCTTTCTGGGGCTGGGGATTTAGCTCAGTGGTGCTGCCACCTGCCTCACAAGTGCAAGATCCTGAGTTCAATCCCCAGTACCAACCAACCAGCCAACCAACAAACAGAAAAATGAAAAGCTTTCTGGCTAAAACAGCTAGAATTGTTAATGCTTTCTGTAACTGAGTCCTAACTGGTAGGGAGACTAAAATTGTAACTGTAATGTTTAATTTCATAAAAAACAAATCTGAATCAAATGTGGCCATATGTTAATATTTTTAAAATCTGGGCAGTGGGAACATAGATTGGATGCTTGTAACTTGTATGCTTGACATTTGTTTCCATACTGAAAATTTTTTTAATGCTTTGATTACAGATCTACGTATATGCCCATTTTTTGTAGATTATTCCTTATGCTTTCATGTTTTTACTCAAGGATAGTAAAAGATTCTTAAGGTCCTATGTAATGATTTAAAATAATATCTAAATTATACTATATATCTAAAATATGAATCTTTAATTTTTTATTAGTATAGATAAAATAATTCTTATAAAATACACTTTCATCTAATGGAAATCCAATTCCTTATTGTTTTGCATTAAACCCTTTTAAATCCAAAGTTGCTTAATTGTTATAAAAGATGATCTCTCACTTGTTAAAGAAATGTGAAAGCTGATAATATTCAAAAACATCCACGTAAAAACTGTATCATGGAAATTAATGAAAGAGTAAACTTTCTCTTTCAAATTATTAATAAGAGGTGAATTAACTTCTTTACCTGAACTCATTTTTCATTCATTAAAATGACAAAATAAATCAAAGAGACCGCAGCAGGTTTAAATTGATACTATAAAACCAATTATTCTGCACTATCTTTGCAACTCTTTTGTAAATCTAAAGTTATTTCAAAATAAGCTTATTTTTACAATTGTAATTGCTTCTCTTATTCAGCACCGAACTTATTTCATAATTCAAAAGGATGTTTAAATTTTGTTTCTTTGTTTTCTTGGAATTTGAAATATTTCCTCCATAAAAGTGATTATCCTGCTGTAAAAAATCACATTTTCCTTAATTCTATTATTGAGAATTTATGTATTTTTGTTTGGAAAAACAAAGGATCATCTGGAAAGAAAATATCAGAGCTTGTGGACTTTAAGGTAAAGGGGAAAGCAGGCATGTACCTTATTTACCATGTTAAAATGGGCTTTAAAAAAACTAATTACTACTGTTTAATGGTCAATTAAATCTGTGATAGTGGCTGGAAGTGGCTGGGATTATGGAATTGTAGATGTTTTTAGAAAAACTTGTGAAGGAAAATGAATCCAACTGTTTCATGTGAAGATGATGAGCCCTTTCTATCATGCCTTCCTGTGTCATAGCAGAAACATGTGAAGATTGAAAAGTAAAATAATCAAAATTATCAATAATCAAATAATCAAAATAAAAAAGCTAATTAGTAATTTCTGAACACTCCACTTTAATAGTCTCTTTGCATCTCATTCTGTACTATATACTCAGAATAGTTTTGCTTTCAGTGACCTGTGAAAGTTGTACTTGAGCAAGAGTAAACATTTTACCTGCTTGCTTTCTAATTGTGTCATAAATTAGTGAACTCCATTTATATGAATCCTTATACATTAGATTCATAAATTAAGAAAAAAGAAAAACTTCAAGAAGAGTCAAAAGAGCAATAAGGTGGAGAGGATGGTATGGTTGGGTGTAGTCTGAGTGTTTCTCAGGGGTTTATGTGCTGGGAGTCTGGTCCACATTGTGGCAGTGTCGGGAGGTCCTGTGCTGCCATGTGACCTCTGAGGAGGGGCCTATAGGAAAAAAAATTAGGTCATGAGGGTACTGCCTTTGGGAGGAATTGAGGCAGTTAATTCTCACAAAGAGAGCTGTATAAAAGTTTAAAATGAAAAAGCTGGATGTAATCCCTATAATCTCAGCCATTCAGGAGGCTGAGACAGAGGCTTGTGAGTTCAAGGCCAGCCTGGGCAATTTAGTGAGATCCTGTCTTACAATAAAAATGAACAGCCTAGTGCATACTTGGTCCCTTTCTGGCCTTTTGACTAGCCATGTGTCTCTCCTTCTTGCTCATACTCTTACTACAATGCTACTAAACTGAACATAGGGAGGTGTGCAGTTTGGACTTACCACCTGCAAAACTGTGAGCTAAATAAATGTCTTTCCTTTAAAAAGTACCCAGCTTCAGGTATTTTATTATAGCAAGGAAAGACTCTAATACAAAGAAACAGGATTGTTTTTCTGAAAGAAGCACAGGAGAGATTCAATAACAGTACTCAACATCTGTGGATTTTTTATCAAAAGATAAAATAACAGGTTATTTTTAATTGCTATTGAGGAGTAATTAAATTTAAAAATTTCAAGTAAGAAATCAATTTTTAAATTTTTATTAAATTTTATTTTATTTTATCCTATTCCCTCTTCAAGCCCCATGTATAGAAGCTGTTTCGATTTTTTCTTTCTGGTTTTGCTTTTTTTCTTGTGCCTTCTTTTCCCCCCTCCCTTCACCCTTGTTCCCCTTCCCATTTGAACACTTTCTTCCCAAGAAATAATAGTTTTAACCAGGAAGAAACTAAAATATAAAGTATTTTCTAAAAGTGGAAACCAGGGCTGGGGATTTAGTTCAGTGGTGCCTCTGCCTGCCTCGCAAGCACAAGGTCCTGGGTTCAATCCCTGCTATCAAGAAGAAAAAAAAAAGTGGAAATCAGTCATAGTAAAAATAAAAATCAATTTTGTAGACTAAACATTCAGATGATCTGAAAGTAAAAGGAGATGTGACTTACAGAACATCTTCAAAGCTTTTCCTTGAAGAGAATTTTGACTAGTCACTAGTGGCTTTACAGGCTAGTAAAGAGATGCTTGTCAACCAGCTTCCGTTTCCTTCTGACCTGGAAAGTTATAGTGGGTGTTCCACTGTGTGACTGTCACTTACCTGGGAGCAAACCCACAGAGAATTTTGATACATCTTGGTTTCACTGGCACAATTCTTCCTCATGTTAGAAATGTATGAAGGTTGGCCCTGTCATACTCACTTGTACCTCAGAAGTCCTGGAAAGGAACCATCTCTCCCTGCAGGCCTCTCTTCTTGGTTCTGTGGGCTGGGATAATTCTGCACGCCCTTCTGCACCGGGTGCAGGCCTCTCACAGTTGCTCCAGGGAGGGGCTGCCCAGGCAGAGTGGGCCGGACCACCTGCTGGTAGGCTACTCCAGGGTAATCATGGCCATCTGAAGGTGAAGACAAGGACAACAGGGAAGATTCACAAGTTTCTTTGTGTGAAAGGAGAGGAAAGCTCACTGAAAATCTTTGTCTGATACCAATGGAAGGGTCCAGATATTAGTTACACACTCCATGATATTTGCCATATTTCTATACTACTACTTACTTGATAGTTTTCATGAAATTGATTCACTTGTTTTCTAAATAAAAACACCTATGAAGCCATGGTTTTGGTATTCTACTTAAACAGCTCAAAGAACTTTTAAAAAACGACACAGATTCCTATTTTAATAATATACTTAGGATAAGCCAAGCATGAAGAGCCTCTCTCACACTGCCATTCCTACCATAATTTCCCAAATATCTAGAACTCAAGACTAGGAGAAATTTCCCTATGATAGATATGGAATTGCTATTTTTGCCTTTTTTCTCCCCAGGGCAGGGGTGGGGGCATGTACACACACACACACACACACACACACACACACACACACACACACTCAGAGCCATTCCCTCCTATGAAGAAATAAATGAATGAAAACTTGTCTCATCCCTGTGGGAAACAGCCAACCAGTTGGCAATACTCTTTGACTTCCATAGTCTCTCTTCCTAAAGCCTATGTGCCCTCAGTGACAGGGCAGTTGAAGAGAGCAGGGATTCAAGCAAAGCCAGGGCTGGCAGGGACTTATGTGAATGTGTAGCCTGTGAGAAAGTTGGGCCCAGCCAGCCCCAGGAGCACCAGGGTCCCAAAGGAAGAAAGGCAGCTTTGGCTGACCAGGTGAGAGAAATGAAGGAAGTTGCAGCAGAAGAACGCAGGGAACCTAGGAAGGGAGAGAGGAGGGCCCTGAGGGAACTGCCCAGGCCCAAAGGGGTGAAAACTGGGAATGCTGAGAAGCTCAAGGGGGCTGGAGACACCCGGGCGGGGAGACCTGTGCAGCGGATTAGGAGGACCTTCTAGTGACCTTCTAGGGGTGGAGGTGTACCATGTAGGCTGATTTTCCCCTCCTCCTTAGGGCAGGCAGATTACTAGGATGGGTGAGGTTGGGGTCTAGATGGCCAGTTGGAGTTCAGAGCTCTGTGGTGACAGGTGAGAAACAGTGATCAAAGAGGAATGACTGGTTAGGACAAGAAAGATCCCTGTGTGTATGTGTGTGTGTGTGTGTGTGTGTGTGTGTGTGTGTGTGTGACATTTTACATATAAATTCTTCTTCTGATTATAAAAGTAATAATCCTATTTGCCTACCAGGCAGGTGGGATACATGAGGGGAAGCACAATGAAATAAAACTGGCAAATAAGCAAGAAAGTAGTGGGTCAGGAAATTTGGAACCAGAATAGAGGGCGAGAATGGAGCGGAGAATTTTATTCTTAGTTTGGTAAAGAGCCAGGAGCTATCAGTGTGTGTGCTCTCTAGTGTGGCTGCCTCCAGCTTCCCGCTGCCTGGACCCAAGGAAACTTGGTTTGCTGACCCTTGGTTAGGTCAGTCTCTCATCCTGCTCATATTCGCTGTAGTCAATGCATTTTCTGCTTTGTCCCTGAAGTCAGCTGGGTCCTTCCTGCTGTACTTCCTCTCGCAAAAATGACCATGCCCCTCTGACCCAGGTTGTCTCCTGGCTCTGACCCATAAACCTTGCCCTGCTATTGTGTAGGCCTGGTCATAACAAGTAGAAGGGGGTTTAAAGAAGGGTAGGAGGAGAAAGGAATATGTCCAGGCCTGTCCCAGTGGCTGGCTGCCGAAGGAGGCAGATTCAGAGGGGAGTCCCAAGAGCAAGGAGACAGGCACAGAGAACTGTATGGTCTTGGTCAAGATATACCGCAGAGGCTTTATTTTTCCCTCCTTCTTAGGGGAGGCAGGTTACTGTGAGGGGTAGAGATGAGGTCAATATTGCCTGTTGGAGTTCAGAGCAAAGAGCAGATCATAACCACTCCCTCAGCTATAAAGAACATTGCCAACAGGTCACCAAGGAGAGACCATCCTGCTTTTACATTAGCCTTACATGAGTGGGCCATTTAGAAACCAGCTGTAAATCTAACCCTCCAGAGAACTGTTGCAATTAAGATCCACCCTGCATGACCAGGTTCCCTTAATTTTTTTCTCCACCTAGTTGTCTGTCACCAGCTCACCAACCCCCAGTTTGATCTTGAACATCCAAGCTGGTCCCAACTGCTGGGTTTACCACCTTCTCTACCCACAGCGCTTTTGCCCTAGATTTTCACAGACCAACTTCTTTAGGGTTCAGCTCACCTACAGATGGATCTGTTCCTAGAGGCCTACCCTTTCACCCAGTTACCTTCTTCCATCCCCTATTTTATTTTCCTCATCACTCTGTTTTGTTTTTGAGACAAGTTCTCTCTAGGTAGTTCAGGCTGGCCTAGAATTCGCAATGATTCTCCTGCCTCCACCTCTTGAGTGCTGGCATTACGGGCACAATCCGCCATGCCAGTTTTTTTCCTCTTTGCTCCTATCAGGGGTTGGTGTAAGGAGCACTTGCTGTGTCCCCAAGCACAGCACTGCCACACAGGCAAGGCTCAGTAAAAGAATGAAGCCCACTTGTGGTTGACCTACATGTGGAAGAGAAGCCATTTCAGACCACACAGCCCGCTTACTGGGTCTTGGGTCTTCTGGCTTCTCTGCATCTTGTCTGCTGTAGTTTTTCTTTTTTAATCAACGCCTCCCTCCAGAAGCAAGAAGGCAGAGAAGGTCCGAAAGGAGAAATTGCCTGTGAGCTTGAAAGCTTTTCCAAGGGAGTAGCTGAAAGTAACTCAAGTGAAGTTTTTAATGCTTGGAGCCATTTTTGCTTCCCATATCTATTTATGAGGGGCTAATAACATTTTATTTGCTTAAAGGGACTACTAAGCAATAATCATAGGGTTTGTTTCTTTTCCAGAAAGCGGATGTTAGTGCTGTTAATCAAAAGCCTTTGAATCAAGGTCATATGATTTCTAACAGATTATTTCCCGCACAACATGTTTTTGTCTCATAGCAACAAATCATATCATCAAAATCACTAAGGCATGTGGGCTAAGTGTTTGATTAGCTGTAACTGTCATTTCTGAAATGGCCACCTGTAGTAAAATCAAAAAGTTATACCAGCTTATGTGAGCAGATGAAAATAATGCACTTCATTGATTTTGTTTTTTTTTTTTTTTTGGTACCGGGGATTGAACTCAGGACCTTGCCCCCTTGCAAGGCAGACGGCAGAACCACTGAGCTAAATTGCTGGCCCTATACCTCATTGATTTTTAAAATTAGGATACTCATGATATAATCCACGCTATCCTTTCAAAGAAATAGTAAATAAATATTTTAAAATCTTAAATATGAAATATTAATACAAAGAAATATCAAATATCAGAGGTTCAACCAAGATAAGAGCCCTCCCTTTTTGCTGTACTGGTGGTGAAATGCAGAGCCTGACACACTAAGCCAAGTGCTCTAAGACTGAGCTACAACCCCATCCCTTTTTATTTTGTTTTGAGACAGGATCTCAAAAAGTTGCTCAGGCTAGTCTTAAACCTGTGATCCTTCTGCCTAAGTCTCCTAAGTATCGATTAGCTGGGATTACAAGCACGCACTGCTATAGCAGAAGCTTTCCCTTTTGTAAATGGAACTTGACTGGTTTTGTCTGGAAATTTGGCTGGTTGTGTGCAAAAGTTGCTAAGTAAAAGGTATACTCACTATACAGTAACTACCTTTTTATTTTCATTGTTGTGTTCCATTATCCTGGGCAAGCCTTGCTACACAGTAGGGTACTATACAGAGTAATGGTTAACATGTATTGATTGTTGCTATATTCTAAATACTGTTCTAGGTTCCTTATTCGGGCTCATAAATCCTTTTCTGTTATCCTAAAATGTAGCTGAACTCAGAATGAAATCCAAATTCCTCTAGTCCTCTAGCATGTCGCTGTCTTATTGCTCCCCTTGCCCCAGCCTTGCAGCCTTGCTCTTGACACCTTAACACCGTCAAGCTCCTTGCTCCTCTGACCCTCTCATCCTTTAGGTTCAGCTTAATTTTCTCTTCAAAAAGTCATTCTTTGTCCAGCCTATTTTTTGTTTTATTTTTTGAGACAGAGCCTTTCTTTATAGTCCAGGCTGGCCTTGAACTCACAATGTGGCCTAGCCTGGCCCCAACTCACAGAGATCTGATTGCCTCAACCTCCTGAGTGCTGGGATTAAAGGCATGTGACACCGTGCCTGGCTAGCCTGTCTATTATCTGTTCCAATACCTGGGCTTTTTCTTTATAGCGTATATAATTGTCATTTCATGTGTTAATTTCTACTTCTTTTCTGTCATCCCGGTAGACTATGAAAAAACAAGGACTATGTAGTTGTGTTTACCACTGTGTGTGCTGTGGCTCGAAATGATCTGGCAAATGTTTGTTGAATAAATTGATAAATGAAAGGACAGGTTATGCTTCCAAATTCCATTTTCCTCCATTCTTTCTTCCTTTTCAATAAAAGGTGGCTGTTCTGAAGTTTCATTCACAGACTTTATCCATGATTACAGGTGACTCCTTTCCCCAGGAAGTAGAGAACAGATTTCTTTTTATTCATTCAACAAATATTTATAGAATCTCTATGGTTAGGCACTTGGTGAACAAAGATAAACAGAAGACAGTTTTGAATAGTTCAAAATAAATGGGGAGAGAATGCGTGAGAAATCTGTGTATCTGTGAGTATCTGTTTTTAAACACAAGCCCACACAGCATGTGAGAAGGGTGAGGCATATAAGTCAGTAGCCACCTTCTTGAGAATCACTGCTCACAAATACCTTCCCACAGACTTGTCCACAGTGCCTAAAATTCCAGTAGGAGAGTTCACCCTGTAGGAGAAGGCAGGTGGGTGACGTGACAGATGAGTTGTTAGCATGGTGACTCCTCAGTTCTGAGGTGATGTAAATAATGCAACAAAAATGAAAATCTTGCATGGTCCTAAATGGGAGCGCAGGACTGTATGTTATTTGTTAATCCCATGATACTTCTTGGCCTGAGTACACAGGGCTTTTCATGTTACTGGGTTTTTACCCCTTGGAATTTGTAAATCAAATCCTAAATGAGGTTTTCCATTTATCAATACAAACATTCAACATTTTTCTTCCTTATTAAGAATGGTATTAAAAGAGTTTATGAGGGAGAAAATAAAATCCTATTTTTCAAGTTGTCAAAAAACATCAAGATAAAATGCAATCAGGTTAGCCAGGAAACAAAATGGCCAACATAAACTATTAGAGGAACTCCCACAGCTGTAAGCAGCTGTGGCTCCTGCAAGGCAACTCCTTCTTTATTATTTCTTCTATTTGGCTTATTTTTTCCTTACTTTAATTGCGCATGTATTCTAGCATGTAAATAATCACATTTTTGGTTCTTGGGAACTGTGGTCCCATAGCTTTGTTTTATTGTGTCCCTGGTAGAAAAAGCAAAATAAAGGCTTAGTTCCTTCTTTTTTTCCCCAAAAATATTTGCATTGTGGGTTTTTATTCGATTGCATGGCCATGTACTCTACTCTGGTGACCTTTGGTAGGAGGATTTTGAGGCAGCAGAGACTGACTTCTCCTGGGGGGTGGGATGAGGACAAAACAAGTTATTCCGTTTCTCATTTTCATCTTTGAAAACTTTTTTTCAACATGAAATAAATGGCCAGGAATCATTTTTGCTTTAACTTGCAAAAAGCTAAGCTATGATATTTCATGGTGATCATTATTTATTTATATATTCATTAACAGGCAAGGAAGTAATAAAGCCTAGAAGAACCAGGTAGCCATGGTTTCCAACTGCACAAGCATCCCTCAGGTGAACAGCTCTTTTGAAGTGGTTTTGTTGGCAATTAAGTGCAGTTATAGCCCTGACATGAAACTAAGCATTTGTACACCTGCCCTGAATGCTTAAAATCGGTGCCAGCAAGAGGAATCTGGAAGTAGAGGTGCACTTTGCAGGAATGGGCCTCAGGGTCCATTTAAAAATAATATAAATAAGAGCTGCTAGCATTGAGGGCTTACAAGCAGCCAGCCACCTTCCCAGCCTTTAATATATTATCTCATTTAATCCTCAGAGCAACCTTCCCAGGAGTCATTGCAGCTGGGTCCTCATTAATATTCTGTGACTGCACAGCCCTACAGCAAGCCATAAACATTGTGCAACTTGACCTCTTCCCTGTGGTTGGATGCTCGGGGAGCCAGGGCCAAGGTACACACAGTGTCAACTAGGACAAGCTCATCTGTTACCTGCTCGCTCTTTCCCAAACTTTTCTTTTAATGGCAATAAAAATTTTAACAACGATATGTAAAGTTAGAAGGAAAATACCCTTGTCCCGTTCAATTCTTGCTCTCCTCCACCCCCATCACTTTTAACAGCACAATCCTGGACATTTAATATAATCTGTTTCTATATATCTATATATCTCTGTATATATTTTAATAAACATGTGGGATCAGCACTGCATTCTTTTAAAATCTTTTTTTATGCCAGAATGTATTTTATTCTTTGCAACAGGAGCCTAGTAGATTATTGTATAAATAAGTCATACATTACAGGTGCTCCTTGATATAGGATGAAGCTATGTCCCAACAAACCCATTGTACATTGAAAATATCAAGTCAAAAATGCACTTAATGCATCTAACCTACAAAACACGACAGCCTAGTGACACGAAGCATTGTAGAGCAGGGTTGTTTACCCTCATGATCCTGTGGCTGACTGGGAGCTGCGGCTCACTCCGGTTACTACTGAACGAACTGCTATTCATTGCACACCATTGTAAAGTCAAAACAAACCAAAACAAAACATCTCAAGTTAGAGTCTATTGTACGTATCCGGCCCTTCCCAAAAGGTGCTATAGTTATTTGCATTTTCACTCCACTATAGCAATCCTTTAATAAAGCCCTTGCCCACATATTTTTGTATGCTTGTTTAATGTTTCTACACGGATGGATACATTTGAGATCGTTAGCTGGAGAGGGGGACATGGAGATTTTTGATAAGTAGTGAAACTGTCTTCCAGAAAGGTTCATCAGTTTATATCCCAGCCAAGAGTAGATGAAGAGTATTCATTTTCTTCTAACTCTACTAATACAAAGTATTGTCTGAGGTTTTTATCTTTGCACCTGTATTCAAGGAAGAGTTGTCTGTAAAATTTATGTGTCTTAGATCTACTGATGTTGAGCTTTGTTTCATGTGCACATTATCTATGTGTATAACTTCTGTGAATTATTCCCATCCTCTGTCCAACTTCTCTCCTGTCTGCCTTTCATCACCTCTCTGTACTCCTAAAACCCAAACATTCCCCTTCTAATCCCTTTCAATGAAAGGAAAAAAAATAACAAGAGGAAGGTGAACATATGAGAGAAAGCAGTCCTGAGGTATTAGAGGCACACTGTGTTCCCAGCTGGGCACATTCCCCTGTTAGAGACGCCCGAGGGGCAGTGCTTACCTCTACACACCTGATTGCTAATGGCACCATTTCAGGCTTCAACAGGAAAAGTACTGTCCAGTGGGAAGATCTTCCTGGGACCCTCATTATTATACTGAGTTAGTGCTTACTTTGCCTACCACAGACAGGTTTTCTCTTGTTTATAAAGGCAACCGCTTGGGACCTGTGTCAAAAGGCCTGTGAGTAACTATTCACACTTCTGCTATTCATCTAAGGAGTTAACCAGAAATGTAGATTAAAAAAATTATTGGGCCGGGGATTTAGCTCAGTGGCACTGGGTCTGCCTTGCTAACTCAAGGTCCTGAGTTCAATCCCCAGGACCCTGCCCCCCTCAAAAAATATCATGCATGATGTTTGTCATAGCATTGTTTATTGGGTCAGGAAACTAGAGACAATTGGAAATGTCCAACAACAGAGAATAGATTAATAACAGCTTAGTGCATCTATCAGATGAAATACAACGCAGTATTTTAGAATAATGCTGAAAAAGCACACTCAATGTCATTGGAAGTTGTTTTAATTTTACATTAACTATATATGAAAAGGGAAAAACCACTAGAATATGTCAAAATATTAAAAAAATTATATTTGGGTGATAGAAATATGAATGTTTTTTGTTTTCTTTTTTTGAACTATTGGGCATATTTCAATAAGGAAGGGATGAGACATTACTTCTATGGTCAGGAAAATTGTCTTTAAATATAAATAATACAATGTTAAAGACTACTTTACAGTATTACGCTCACAAATCATTCCCTTTTAATCTAGAAATCACTTAGAAATAAATATAGCCCTGGCCTTGCTACCAGTCAGTTCTCTGTGACTCATACTTGAGGAATCTACCACCACACCCATCCCATTATGGGGCACTCAGAACAAGCAGTGTACCCATGCCCCACCTATTTTCCTGCCAAGTCTAAGGCAGGGAAGAGGCATGAAGAAAAGGAAGAATCCAGAAGCCCAAGAATTAGACTGAGGAGTCTTCCAGGAATCATTTGGGTCATCTCTATGCCATTAGGCAGGTTTCTGTTCAACTAACCTTCACACAGGAATCTATTTCATCCTTAAACTTTCCTAAAGAAGCAGGTTTCAAGCAAGACAGGCTTTGGCCTAATGAGAAGAATCCTTGGAAGGCTGCTTGCACACCTCTATCAGAAGAAGCAGAATGTCCCCCTGCACTGTGCTCTAGCTGTGCTGGTCTTGCGACATGGGGCATTGATGTGAGGTCTTGTTTCCCCAGTCACCCAGCCCAGAATGACCAGAGGCCAAAAAAAAAAACACTTACATGGTACCTGGTGATCAGGCCTTCCAGGGCAATGGTAGTGATAGTTCCATGGAGAAGGATGGGGAGGTAGCATTTGTGCACATGCTGGATACCTCTGCGGTTCAAACTGCAGGAACTCTCTAGACCTGAGTGTGCCAGGGAGGTCTGGAGGGTAACATACAGAGGTGAGGGGCAGAGGCCTTTCCAGCTGCCTGATGCCCAGGACATCCTGAGGCTGGGAATCATATCCCGTGTCTATCGTTGGCAGGTCTGGGGCTGCTCGGTTCCTGTGAGGCTGTGGCTGTGGCACCGTCTCTTGGCCACTGCCTGAGGAGTCTGCTGAAGCATTAGGTAAACTTTGGTCTGATTTGTGTGAGTCATGGCCAGTGTCAGGAGAAGCTGCTGAAAGCTGAGATCCCAGCCATGGATTATGTTTTTCCATAAATGAAAACCGATGCTCTAGGGGGAAGGCTGCAACCACAGGCTCAGACTCGGGCTGGCTGGCAGCAGAGGAGCCAAAGGGAAAATCTTTGCCAGGGTCTGAGTGCCTCCTGAAGAAACTGTCTTCACTCTCCTCCAGGACTTTAGTGCGCAGGCAGGTGACCTGCTGAGACACAGGTCGCTGGTGATTTGCAAGTTTCAGGGGAGGGTGAACCTGAGAAAAGTCTCCTGAGGCACAGTGAGGGGGGTTGGGTGCAGACAAGCTGTTGGGTGCCATGTTTCTTATAATTGGAGCAGGTGGTTCTGATTCCTCTTCCAGAGAACATTCTGGGAATGGCTTCAGCAACTGACTCGGGTATGGTTCTGATTCATCAACCTCCACAGGAATGCTTCGGCTCATTCTAGTTTCTGGAACAAGAAAAAATATGCCAGAGCCTCAGAAGACAGATCAATCCCTTGAGCCCCCATCTTATTTTTTTATTTTCTGGTAGTGGGGATCCACCACAGCACCTTGAGCTTGCGAGGCAGGCAGGGTGCCCCTACACTAAATCCCCAGCCTGAGCCCCTGTTTTACGACCCTAAGGAATCTTATTCAGGGTGTGGTTTCAGTTAACAGTAGTATGACACCACTGTGCTTGCGGGGCCGGTTACATAAAGTTGTTAGTTCATCCTCCATGCAAAGGCATTAATGCTTATTAAAACATTTTATCTAGAAGGCAGTCAAAGAAAGATGACCGGAAGTCAGCCCGTAGTAGAATCATTCACCAGCAAGGGGCAAACGTGGGTGCCAATCAACTGCCAAGTACAGAGGAAAGAGAAATTATTGTATGTGGACTGCTGCATGAGTTTTTGAAATACAAGAAGAATAAAGCTTAGTAACTGATGTGGAATGATCTCCGAGATATATTGTCAGATGTCAAAAACAAAAAAAAATCTGGGTTGCAGAACAGTGTGTACACCTTGCTGTTATTTTGTGTAACAAAAGTAAGGAGAGGGAAAAGTGTGTGTGTTTCTGTGGGCTTATCTGTTCCTTTATACCTAAAACATGTGAAGGGTACCAGGACATTGGTACGTAGGATATCTTTGAGGATGGATGGTGGGGGGGCAGAAGGGAGTTTTACCCTTTGAATTTTAAAAATGTTGCTTCTCTGACTATTGCTTAATTAAAAAAGTAAATTCAAGTTTTTTTTTTTAAATACAGAAAGAAAGCACAAGTTTAAAAGGCATTGTAAAAAGGTTATAGTGACATTTTCCACAGAATAACTTTAAGGTTATTTGGAGGACTTAATCCCCTCTGGGCATTATGCCTGCAGCAAGGGTAGCCAGAGCCATCTCGTTTGGTATATAATTGCATGGGCGAGACTTGTGAAACTAGCCACTAGCCCACAGAGCACTGAGCCCACAGCCCAAACAATACTCTTCTTATCTATGCAGTGGAACTCTTAACGAACCTAACATAATGAGAACGAAAACTTTCCTCTTTTTATCATTAAATGGGTTAACTGATACCTGGCTTAAAGAGACAGGGGGAGGCCAGAGAGAAGGTGGCAGGGGTACGGTGGGATCCTGGAGGTTTGCAGAAGGCTGCACAGCAGGTATAGTAAAAGACCAAGTGCATGAGAAAGAAAAGAAAAACCCTAAGGTTTATTCTAAGCAAGGCCTTTGTACATAGCGTACTTCAAATACTAGAAAGAGAAAAGGAATTGTGGGTGGATTTTTAAATTTTTACTTTGGATCCAGGCAGCATTTCAACCACAAGCAGTGGTTACCGAGGGCTTACTGTGCCTGGAGTCACAAAGCACATAAATTATTGTTCTAAGACAGCTTTTGAGCATGAATTCCCTTTCTCTTGCATCCTGTACCCAATCCAACTCCAGCAAGACAGAATGCATTTTGAAATGCTTCTCCTTTTGCAGAGGCGGGCCAGCAGTTTGCTGCCAGCTCTTTTCTCCTTCTTTTTGCAGTGCTGGGGATCCAACCCAGAGCCTCACGCATGAGAGGCGAGTGCTCTACCACCAAGCTACACTCCTAGGTCGTATCGGGTGTATCTTAACTACCTATAAGAAGCCAGACTTTCTCCCTCTCTGAGGTAGATAAGTGGCTGCCACAAGTTCAAGACTGGCAGGGGCAGCATAGTGAGGCCTTCTCTCAAAAACAAAAATTAACTGCCTATATAAAGATACTTTGCCTCTCCCTACCAGATGAACACTCTTTAACGCTTCTCATTCCATTCGGTATCAAACTTGACTCTTGCTGCCCAACAACCTAGCACTGTCTACGGGCACCACATGAAACGCTACCTCCTAACTCGTGGTTGGCCTCCGTTTTCCGGGTCTGTCCTTTCCCTGTTGGCTCTCCAGAGGATGTGTGTCCTTTTCCTCCTCGGTGGCTCTGCAGAAAAGAGACCTCAGTGCCTCAACTGAGTAGACTTTGTAAAAATGAGTAAGAACCGAGCAACCATAGATATTTTTATTTTTTACTATTTAAAAATGTCCACCGTTGTTTTCCTTTCTTCCTTACAACTCGTCTACAGCTGTGAAACCGGATATGCCTTACAACATGCTCTTCAGCTGGTCAGGAAACAAACATTTTCTCCGGGGCTGGCTGAGCGTGCTGTATAATCTCCTGTCTGTCTCTGGGAGCCCCAGCTGAGCGGGAGGGCAGAACAGTGTGGAAAGGGGGCTGGGAGCAGCTAACGAGGACCGGTCCTGCGATTCATTGCATTGCTCACACTTCAGGTACAACTGTTTGCATTCTCCCTGGGTTTTCAGATGTGAATACCTGAGAAGTGCTTCCAAAGCGAAGCGCAAATTTTTCTTTTCCACCTGAGGGGCTTGCAGGGGCTCGGCGGAAGCTAATGTGAACGGTGACAAGTGCAGGAATCTCATATAATTGGAATCTGAGCTCCATCTCTGGTTACTTTTAAATGGTCTGAAAAGGAACGGGTGGCCCTTTCTGGCAGGCCAATGAACACTTTTTCAGTAAAACTATAGTCACTACAAAGTCAAAATAGGCCCTGATGTTTCAAATATATTACTATCAAATACTCAAGTAACAAATAATCGAGGCTACTATGTGTTCAACTGTGTGCTGTCCATCCTCCTTCTGAAGCAGAGGCTCAATTAAAATCATTTTACTTTTATGTCTACTACAACACTCAAGAGGTACGAAAAACTACTTTCACTAAATCTGATCACAAATATTTCTAAAGGCATAGAAAATATTCCCACTTTCAAACAGCTTGTGATTCAGCTTAGGGGCCTTTGTATATCTTTTTTTTTTTTTTTTTGGGTACTG